AGGTTAGGCATATAAGCACATATAGAGGCTAGTTGTTTAACTTGTTTTGAAAGTAAAAAAAAGAGTAAACGAATATGTTACCCTTTTCAATGTTTTGTATAATTAATAATAGGTTATTATGCAAAAGCTCCAACAAACTTGACAACAACCTTCAATGCAAGTGGAGTTACTTTAGAATGGGAGGACACTGGGAATAACTGTACTTCTACTGTGTATCAAGTGATGGTTATTAGTTGTTCATGTACATCAACCAGTGTATTGATGTATAATACTAGCAACACAACCTTACATATAAACTCAAGTGACTTATTAGACAATGTAATCTATACATACACTGTTAGAGGGTGGAATGAACAGCAAAGCAACAACAGTGAACCATTCACAATTAGTAAGAATATAATATATATCTCAATAACACTATAATCTATTACAATAGCTGATACAACTAACACTATTGATCCTTGTAAAAATAATATTTGCTGTGCTGATGTTACACTAAATACAGTACTGGTAAAATATAGATGAGTACTTCATAAATTAAGTTAAACCAACAATTCCTATAGGTATCATCAGACACATGCTCAAAGCATTCAAGCCAGTACTACAACAATTCCATTACTGGAAATATACCAGTAACTGAATCAAAGATAGATAACAGCGAGACCTATTATGTATCAAGCACACCAACAACCAACTTTAGTCCCAGTATGTTGTATGTATAATAGTTTATAATATTGAGTAGATCTACTTTATATACAGGTAATGATCCAATGACTAGCCAGCCACCAGGTCATCCTGGTCATATCACATGCATTATAATAAGCTCAGTATTGCCAATAGTAGTATTATTAGTATTAGTAGCAGTAGTAGTAACTATAGTGTGTGTACGCCGCTGGTGTTGACATGGCCAAAGACACCCACATAATCAAGATGAAGAACAGTTAGAATTAAATTAGTTGAATGTTGAATGAAATAATTAAATTATAAACATCAGAAAGAATAAACACTTATTACTCCTTTTTTAAATAATAATAATTTCCATTTACAGTCCTACAGTACAAAATTGGGTGGGTGTAGTTGAAATGTGATCAGTCACTATAATTGATTGAATTCACTTGTGTGATACTCATATTCATGAAGAGGGAGTGATCCTATTTTTGTTTGTTATGCATTTTAGTTGAATTGTTATTGTAAATGAGAGACTCTCCTTTGCTATTTCTACTCTACACTTGGTTAGCAGGTAAGAGCTGCATGCAGTAAATTGAATGCTGTGTACAATATATGCAATATGTAGTTGGTGCTGTCACTGTCTTCAGTGAGACTGTATGTGCTGGAAATACAGTAAATTGCAACTGTACCACAAATACTGGAGCAGTAGAGTGGAACATTAGTAAAAGAGCACTTGGATTTTCAGATCAGATTTGGGAACCAGTAACAGAAGTCAATTTCAATAAATCAACACCCAATTTTGAAAATATATATGGGTATAACTTTACATTTGATCAGAATTTAAACAATTCAGCACTCACTTTTAATCTCAATTCCTCTGAAGATGTTCTCATTGTGTGTGCTAGTGGAAATGAGCAAGACAATAAAGGTTCTGTCATCAATACTAACTCAAACACACCGACAATAAATTATTTCCAAGTTGGCTCTACAATAGAAACATGTATGTTATGTATTAGTAGTATTTTTTATGATAAATATATACTTTATAGACAGTTGTATGCTGATTCAAAATCAGTGTCAGTCACCAACAGGAAATGATGAAGAGAATGGAGGTGGTGGCTTAAGCTCAGGAGCTGTGGCAGGCATTGTCATTGGAGTCATATTAGGAACAATATACATAGTAGGGAG